CAGGTTTAACTCAGCCTGGCATTCTTCTGAGGTTGCTAAAATGAGTACCCAGCTTGTTGGGGGCAATTAGCTTACACATTGTAACTGCTTAGGGAGTGCTTAAGTGCACTGATAAGTGGTATAGAAATGTACTTGCTATTGCTGTTTAACAGCAATTAACAAGAAATACAGCAAATGCAACCTTGTTCCTTTCTTCCACTAGAAAAATGACTCCTAACTGATTACCTTTTTTAAAATGTTCATGCAGCATGTCAACTTCTTTCTATAGATTTTATTAACTCATATGAACATAAGAAATCTGTTGTAGCCATCTGACAAGTCCTTCTGCCAATAGTGGATGTTCGAAGCCTTTGGAAATTCCTGTTCAGTTTGAAGGCAACAACTTTTCCCTTGCTGTTGTTTCCCAGCAACTGGTGTTTAATCACATATTGCACATGAACATAGAGGTTCCCTAGAGTTATCATTACTGACACCAACAAAAAGACCTTCATAAATTTGTCTGATCTACTCTTTTTCTGCTTATTTCTTGTTCAGAAGCCCAATTCAAGTATTTTAGCCTGCTTGTATATGTGCTAAAAAAGGGGGGGGGCTGTGGGTTAAGATTAAATATGCATGCTTTACTCCCAGTGTCCTCACCTGCTCCATCTGGTCTTATGTTGGATGGAAAGTAAAAAGGGAGCTTTTAACATTCACCTGAACAGAAATAAAAAAAAGGGTAGCATTTTTAATGTGTGTAAGCTATAGGCCTTAGCAAGGGTGCCTGGATTCTTGTTATGTTATACTACCCAAGGAAGCTCATTTCTGTTGCTCATTTCACAGGAGGCAGGTGGAAAAAGACAGCATTGCTTCTTCTTGCTGATTATACTATCTCCCTAAGCGGTAGGATATTGAGCCTAATCTAAATGACAGAAGTTATCAGAAACTGAGCCACTCTGAAATATATAGACTCTGGCTTATCATCTTCTGCAGACACATGGCTTCCCATGTGGAACAGACCTCCACATAGTTGCTTTTCAGGCAGTGGTATCATTAGTTTAGGATTTGGAATAATGTCCAGGCCCCAAATACAGCAAGACTAACTTAAATGTTGTTGGTGGTGTGTGCCTTCAAGTAATTTCCAACATACAGTGACCCTAAGATGAAACTATCACAGGGTTTTCTGAGCAAGATTTGTTCAAGGGGGTTTGTCAAAGCCTTCTTCTGAGGCTGAAGATCACCCAGTGGGTTTCTGTGTCTGACCAGGGATTCAAACCTTTGTCTCTTGGAATCCTAGTGCAGAACTCAACCACTATACTAGGCTGCCTCTCAACTTAACCATATTTTGAAATACATGAAGTAATTCACATTACTATCTTTATAAAGGGATGAGGGAGTAAATGTTTTGGACAATAATTACCATAATCCCTGACCATGCTGCTTTTGGTCATACTAGTCAAGGTTTCCCTGCTTTGCATCTAAACAGACTGTTGTCTTCTGCTTCACCCTTCAGTCTAAAATTACAAGAAGCCATCTACCCTATCTTTGCTTATATGATTTTGTACAGTTAGCTTTCATCTTAACAAATAAAAACCGTCTGGTCTTCTGAGGAGTTAGTTTTTATTCACATAAATTCATCTGGTACCAACAACTTTTAATACCACTGTAAACCCCATAGTCTTGAGCTTTATGGGACCACCTACCCTGCTGTCTCAGTTATAAAAAGGCATTTGTGGTGCATAATGTCATTTTGAGATGAGTTCTTTTTTCAAGAAATCACAAC